ACTTCAAGCCAAACTTAAGAAATTTCTTCAAAAATGCTATCTTCCACAATAGGCGTCCAAATCGCTCCCGGTTATCCAAAACCCAAACCGGGCATACGCCCAAGTCCGAAATCATCCTACGAACCTGCTGGGACCTTCAGATCCCGATTCCGAGGTCGTTTACTCAAAATTCCAATCCTAGTTTATTCTTTTAACTTTAAGCTTCCGAAATGAAAATTCTCTTTCCAAATCAACTCTGGACTTCCCGAAATTCAATTCCGACCACGCGCACAAGTCACAATACCTGAAATGAAGCTGCTCACGGTCTCAGGCTGCTGAACGGAGCGCTAGAGCTCAAAACGACCGGTCGGGTCGTTACAGGAAATGAGAGACAGGGGTAGTCATTAGGGGGTTAAATTAGGAATGGGTTGATCTGGACCGTTGATTTAAAATAATCAACGACTCAGATGGAATGAGGATTGGTCCGGGTAGGATAGGGTATTGGGCTTGGGATCTAGTAGGTTATTTAATTTGGACCAGGTTTAATTAGGCTATAATTTAAATAAGAATCGCTAATTGTTAAATATCCATCAAAATTAGATAAATAATTAATAAAAATAGCTAATAATTAGATAAAATGAAATTAAAGCTAAATAGGTNAAGGTAAAAATAATAGTTCAGCAGTAATTATAGAAATAAACGTTAATTAGAATCAATTTAGTATACAGACTTCCTTTAATTAAGGAATCATACTCAAACGGTAAGAAGCAGTGGCAAAATAAGGAAAGGAATCAAGTAAAGCTGCTTATAACACAATAAGGAAGTAGTACAAGTGTAATATAGGTATAGAGCATGCAATTAAGGTCAAGTTCAGAATCCTATTTAAGGAAAATACATACAAATTAGTTTGACAGCGGAATCAGCCAGAGAAATAAGGCAAGAGATATTTCAAATTCTGGAAATCAGTAAGGAGATCCTTGAGTGAGGTTCTAATTACAGGGAATCAATATTTATCAAAGGAAAATATCACACATGAGCGGAGTAACATGCTATAGGCAAGGATAAACAGGAAACCAGCCTTAATTAAAGGGATATCTCAAGAATCAGTAGAGAATATCATGCAAGATCGATGAAGAACCAATCACAGGGATTCGAAGACCCACAAATAGAGAAAAATACCAATTTAGGAGAAATTAGCATAAGCTCATGAGAATAAACAAATTAAACTCATAATAGACGAAAATCAGCAACTTTAACAAGCACACATAGGGTAAAAACCATATAAATCAGGAATTCACATAGAGCATGACCTAAATTAACAGAATAGATGTAATACAGGCAGGAGAAGTGAAGTTTCAGCAACATTGGTGAACAAGAAATAGAATAGGATCACATAATAGGCAGGAATAGTTGCAACCAGACACTCTAACAAGCAAAATAGGGTAAAACCACAGAATCACAGAACGTTCATAAGAAATATACAGATTAATTGAACTTAGCACCCAAGACGAACTCAGAAACTTAAGAAAACATTAGGGTTCTCAACAGAATAACTCGGATAAAGGAGAAGGCTCAAACAAGCGTTTAAACACAGAGAGAGTCGTAGATTAATTAAAAAAATCAAAAGAAAAGCGTTTTTTTTTTCTGAAAAGGGGGTTAAAACCCTAGTTGAAGATGAAGAGTTACTTTAGAAAAATCGAAAAAAAACCTTTGAGGAAAATAACAAAAGCTCATAATATACACAGATCTAAGACAAATCTAAAAGAAATCGGAAAATCTTAAGAGTTAGGATTTCAGAGAACCTAGAGAAGATGAGAAAACCTTAAAATGTTACCGGTTTTAGCCGGAAAAGTCATAGATCTTACTTGAACGGCCGGAGGTGGCTGGAAAATGGCATGAAGGACCATGGGTAGGAGTTGAACCGCTCCAGGTTCACCTGAGGACCTCAGGGTAGTGTCAAACCGGTGTGGGGTGAAGCAGAGTCCAGGAGATGATGAGAGGCCATGGTTTCCGGCGAGGGAGGTGGCCGGAGAAGGTGGACAGGGTCCATCGGAGAGGAGGGGAGAAGAGAAGGTTCTAGAGAGAACCAGAGATAGAGAGAGGGAGACAGAGAGACCGGTTTGAGAGAGAATTAGAGGGGGGGGGGATGAGAGACGGGGGTAGTCATTAGGGGGTTAAATTAGGAAGGGGCTGATCTGGACCGTTGATTCAAAATAATCAATGACTCAGATGGAATGGGGATTGGGCCAAGTAGGATAGGGTATTGGGCTTGGGGTTTGGTGGTTTATTTAATTTGGACCAGGTTTAATTAGGCTATAATTTAAATAAGAATGGCTAATTGTTAAATACCCATCAAAATTAGATAAATAATTAATAAAAATATCTAATAATTAGACAAAATGAAATTAAAGTTAAATAGGTAAAATTAAGGTAATTAACTAATATTTACAATATAAAATGACTGATTATTGAATTAAAATAGCATAAAGTGTACAATTAGGCTATAATTGCAAAATTATTGTAATTATAGCCAAACAATGCCAAATTGGCTAATTTTGTGAAATAATTAAATCCTAATAGGATTAAAAATGATATATTGAGCTAAGAAATACTTTGAAATGACTCGTAATGTAATTTATGAATAATTATTGGATATAAAGTACTAAATAAATTAGAAAAAATAAATTGATAATAATATGGAAAATTATGGGAAAATACCAATTATTATAAAAAGTGATTTTGAAGGTATATATGCAAATTTAAAAATAGTTTGAGGAAAAATTGGGTATCAAAAATAACATGCAATCCAAACTAGCTGGCTGGAAAACCAGTTGTCTAAGCATGGCTGGCAAAACTGTTTTGACCAAGTCTTCCTTAAACAACATCCCAAGTCATGTCATGCAATACATCAATCTGCCCACCAAAGTTACCAAACAAATTAATAAAGTCCAAAGGAACTTCATATGGGGCACCACTCCGACAAGAAAAAGCTGCACCTAATCAACTGGTATAAGGTCACAAAAAAGAAGGCTGATGGAGGTTTAGCGCTCCAAAAAGCTGATCTGAAAAACAAAGCAGCCCTCACTAATCTCGCCTGGAGGACTTACCACAACACCAATAGCTTATGAGCAAGAGTCCTCATTTATAAGCACAGCAACCTGAGCCAAACACATAGAGTCACTGGAGCCACTAGATGTCCTAGATACCCCAAATCCCCTACATGGCAGTGCATTCTCAAGGGATGGAACACTTGCAGTAAAGCAAGCAGATGGGTAGTCCATAGAGGAAATAGGGTCAACTTTCTAATTGATGCTTGGATACCAAATCAACCAGCAATTAGGGACTTGATTGAAGGCCCTTTTTCCCTGAATGACCTAAATGCCAAAGTAGACACTGTTTACAATTCAGGGGCTTGGGATCTCTCCACCATATCCATGGATCTGCCCCCGAGCATCCTCAACTTGATAAAATCTGTCTTCATCCCCCCAAATCCCACAAAAGATAACAATCTTATCTGGGGATTAATTTCCAGTGGTTCCTTCACTAACAGTCCTGCTTACTCCTTTGTTAGCAAAGCTAAAAATAGTGTTGGAACATATGAGGAAGGAACCTTCAATTGGATCTGGAAACTCCAGGCACCCAACAAAATAAAAAACTTCATCTGGCTTCTTACCCACAAAAGGATACCCATTAGGGCCTACCTCCACAGAATTAGGGTCAACTGTGACCCCCAGTGCTCCTACTGCAATAACTGTGAAGAAACAGTCGACCACATCTTCTTTGAGTGCAGTAATGCAGTCCAGTTCTGGAATGAATTACTCTCCAAAGCATCCATTGAAAGCAGACAACAGAACCCTATCTTTTCAGCCCAACAATGGCCATCAACTTGGAATACAATTAGGAAAAATCCCTTCAATGGCCACATTCTCTAGGAAAACATAATCGCCTTCTGTTTCTAGCATATGTGGCTATCTAGTAACAACAATCTCTTCAATGGCAAAAAAGATAAAATCAACACTTCCAACACCATCTCTAAAGCGACAGAATACTTTGTGTTGACAAAAAATGCATTCACCAAAAGAACACATCAAATCACAATCAAATGGGAGCCACCCAGGAGAGGCTCTTACACGCTGAATACGGATGGAACAGCTAAAGGGAACCCAGGCATAGGAGGAATAGGTAGAGTATTCAGAAATCACAATGGAGATTGGATAATTGGGTTTGTGGAGAATATCATCCACACAACCAACACTTCGGCTGAGCTGAAGGCCCTCCTAAAAGGACTACAACTTGCTGAGCAGAATAATTTGGTTCCTTTAGACATCAACACTGACTCCGCTGAAATTATACAAATGTTAATCACAAGTAACCTCACTTATGATCCTATAATTTGTGAATGCAGGTCCTTAATATGCAGGATGGACAGGGCCGTGGTGAAGCACACTTACAGGGAGCAGAATAGGGTGACAGATGCCTTAGCCAAGGAAGCAACAAAGACAACTTTTTTGAACAGATCTAGCATACTAGCAGTTCCTTCGATGTTTGCCAATGATGCATTTTGGGCAGACATCCTAGGAACTGATTTTGTTAGGATTTTTGTGGGATGTAATATGGAAATAATACTCCAAAACATTGCTTCAGTAGGGGTCCTACAGTACCCCAACAATGACTTAACAGTGTAATGTCTTTATATGCTAGTTATATATAAATATCCTTTCAACCAAAAAAAACAGCCAGATAAGGACAATCAATTTAATGTAGTATGAAAATGAAAGCAACGAAAGCGAATAAGTCATGATAAAGCAGTCTTAAAAGGAGCAATAGCTATCACATATAAAGAAGTAAAAGAAACAAAATAGTAGCAGAAATCAAAGGGTAAGAAACTATAGAGCAAGATAAGTTGATATAATGATATCGAAAAGTGTTGCATTGCTTCAATATAATGATTGCTTGTTGTAATGCTTTGGAAAAGACAACTTGTAAGCCGCGGTAAGTTGCCGATTGAGAGACTTTTCAATATTGAGAATAAAAATAGTAAACGAGAGAATGAAAAAGGTAAATATATAAATAATAATGTGGGCCCGTATTAGTTGTTAGGATATAAATGAGGCAAAAAAAAAAAAAAAATAACTACCCTACCATGTAAGGAACATAATTCATTAAAAATTATTCCAATCTCTAATTATTACAACGATTCTCACATTAAAGTTATTGTACTTTTGCTTAAAAATTCTTTTTAAATTTAAATGTACACACATTTTTTTAATAATACAAATACAATACATCTTTATGAAAGAAACAGGGCCTCCAAAAAGTTAGGGCCCCAAGCGATTGCTTTATTGGCCTTATAGTCGAGCCACCCATGTTTAAAATTTCATGCGATTTACAATACAATGTTCGCCTTTTTTTTTTTTATAATAACTAGCTTTACGGTACGTGCATTGCGCGTGTACCTATATTAATAAGTACACAATTTTTACAAAATTACGTAGATATTACCAGACTATGTATTTGTCTAATATAAATTATATAATAAAAGGTAAAGAAATATTCTTGAAAATGTTGAATGTTGTTCCCTTTAAGTTAGCCCAATAAATGAAAAAATCATGTACGCCATAAGTTTAGATGCTTTAGTGTGATTTATGAGGATATATGTGATCTTATAAAAATTATTGTTATTGTAGTGGCCGGATACTTAAAACAAAACACAAAAGAGAATAAAAAGGTTGGTCTTATAGCTAAAAAAAAAATTAACATTGACAACATAAAGTCTAAAAAACAATTATGGTAGAATTAATATCTTACAATAAATAATTTAATATAGTGAAGAAACTCTTTTACGGAGTAAATGAAAGGCAAAGAAATGATAACTTATTTACAATACATTTTTTTCCTATTATTTCATCCTTAAAGTTCTTACAAAAATACATACGATTTATTAGTATAATTTCGATATATAAATTTCAGTATCTTATTCATGCTTCACTTATCTGATTGGATTTGTGCTTTAACATGTAAAAGTTCGACAAAAACCTTAAAATACATTATAGTTATTATTACTATAATTATATTTATTTTCAAATGTAGTCTTGTCATTTTGTAAACTTAGTCATAGATAGTTTTTTTAATCGTCATAATGTGTTTAGAGGTTTGATTTACGATGTATAGGAGACTTCAATTGTTTTGAACTTGATATTACAAAGTCTAAAAAATAATTACGGCTGAGTTAATATTTATGATAAATAGTTTAATATAAAATAAATATAGTGAAGCTATTATTAGTAGGACTGAAGGCAAAAAAAGAAAACATTAAAAATGACAATTTTTTTATAATATACTTTATTTTTTACTATTTTATCCGTAAATTTCTTATAAAGAAATACGTGCAATTTATTACTATTAATTTGGATATATAAACTTCGTTATCTTATTTATGCTTCAATTATCTAATTGGATTTGTGCTTTAAAATGTATAATAAAGTAAAATACATAATAGTTTATTATTAGTATAATATAATTATAATCATTTTAAAAATTGTATTCTTGTCTTTCGTAATTATATATATTTTTATTAGGTTTATAGGTTTGATTTATGATGTATATGAATCTTTAATAGTTTTGGATTTAAAATTAAATCTTTTCTTTTATTGGTAAATTTCAATGCATGTCTACCCTTTAATTACTTTAAGTTATTTGTTGTAAAATGGATAGTGATAACCTTTGAAATAATCACACTACAAGAGTAACATCTTATATTTAAGAAAGAAAGAATAAGGAGTTCTAACTGCACGAGACTTTATTTTCTTCCTACTTATTCTCTTTCAATTATTTTTTTTATTTTCCTAAAATAGTTTAATTCTAAAGAACTAACCTCCAATAATTCTATAACAAAGACAACACTCCTGAACCTTATAGGAGTTCTAAGTACACGTTATTTCCTGCTTTGATTTTTCTAGTATTTATCTTATAAATATGGTATTATATAGTTTAAATAAGAAAAAAAGATAGTATAGAATTTTTTTTTGAAACTTGATAAATGGAATAGAACTTGTAGTGTCTTTAAAACTTACATGTTAATTGCTAAAGGCTTTAACATGAAAAATTAATATATTGGATTTGTTCAAATGGTTTGTTTTGCCATGATCCATAATTTGATAAAAATAGATCCTTTGAGGCTCCTGGGATATGAATCTATTTTTGGAATATCAAATATTTTGGGAGTTACTAGTGGAGATCACCGAGATTGGTTCGAATGTTGAGTTCGTTATCATGGAACTACACATGCCAGTGTAGGGACACATTCTAAGGCTAAGCTGAGGTTTGCGATAAAGTCCCCCATCATGAGGGCAAATAATTATTACTTAAAGTGATGAGGTTAAGTCAACTCGTACGGAACTACGGGAAGCCTCCCATACAAGTAGCGTCTTGTTGCTAGATTGATCACCTAGTGGTTGTTTATGTCGGTGTCGGTATAGTACTCCAATAAAATGTAAAAGAGGATTTTTGTATGTTTTGGCCGAAGGAGCCGAATGTGATTTCAATGACTTAATTTCATTGAAATGGTTTGAATGATTTTTATTAAATTCATGGATCAGGAATTTTGTTCTTCGCGAACGCGATCTTGGGTACGCGTTTGCGATGCTTTAGTTGTCCATTGTTTGCGTTAGCACCCGATATGTTCGCGTTCGCATAGTGGAGCTGGGAGATGGTGGATGATAAGTGGGGATTTTGATTACTTATTAGCGCCTTTTTGCTTTCGTTTTAGTCCAAAAGTATTTAATTGTATCCCGAAAACTGATAAAATATCCTTAATTGCAGGAGTATTGGAAAATGAACCACTAAGAGGAAATCCAACTCAAGAAGGAGTGATCTGAACTTAAGGACAAAATGGCACAAAAGCTCAAAGTGCGGACCGCAGATTTCCATTTGCGGCTGCAGATTTTGAAGGAAAGTTCATCAGAGCCCAAGAGCAAAGTGCGGTCCGCACATGGAAATGTGCGGCCGCAGAACCTCCGAAAGGGCATTTTTGTTCGAAAATTCCAGCTTTGTATAAATAGAATAGTTTCACCAAAATTAGGTCAAGTTTTGAATATTCAAAGTGTTGTAGCCGTCTTTCTCTGCTTCTTTAGGCAACCTTAGCTTATTTGGTGATTTAACATTGGGTTTTTATATTTTAATCTTTCAATATGAGTTTTATTATCTTTTCTTCTTTGTTTTCTTCTATACCCACTATGAGTAGCTAGATTTTTACTAGGGTTGTGACTCAACCCTAATGTGTAAACCTTATGGGTGATTAATTTTATGCTTTTTTTACGAATGGATGTTTGTTATTTATCTAGGTTTATGCTTCAATTGTGAAATTAATGGTTGCAAACATTGAGTTATGCTTATTTGACTTAGTTTCTTCTTGAGAAAGAAAGACCTAGTCTAGTTAATGATAGGTTACATGTACTTTGGTTATAAGTACTTTACTTTATGTTTTGATGATCTAACAAACTTACTATCCAGAACAGTCAAGGAACCTGTTACACATTTACAAGACTTCAAGTTCACAAGATTCCAGGTTGGGACTTAACGTGGAATATGATTCAACTCCTCAGAGTGGAAGGAACAGCTGAGGGATCAGGTCCCTACCAGTCCCGAGGAGACTGTACGAAGTCAACTCTGCAGCTGGAAAGTTGCTGCCTGTACACGCTACTATGCAGAACAGTGGTGCAGTCAACTTTCCAGAGAAGACTTCTTACCTACCTTGCTTGCATCAATGAAAGTGATGTCACACATGTATATATGCATTCAAGGGAGGTAAAACAAAGCACTTGAACACTTAGAGATCTTACTCAAGCTCACTCACGTGACTATTCAGCTAGCAAGTTTCAAGTGCCTCAAGAACAAAGAACAAAGCAACTACGAACCAGTTCTCACATCGAGCTATTGTGTGTCCTTAGTTGAGTTGTAACTTTGTAATAGTTCTTCAAATTGTAATTCCTATCCATCTTATTTATAAGCACTTTATAGGAACATCTTTGTAAACCTTAAACCATCGTGTTTAAGTCTTGGCTAGAGTAGTCAAGTTTTAAAGTCTTTGTAATAGAGTTATTGCAAAGTGGCTTGTAATAGGTGTATTACAAGTTAGAGAGGGATTAAGAGTTTAATTCCGAGGTTGCATAGGTTGTAATCTGAAGGTTGCTCAGTAGTGAGGTTGAAATCCTACACGGGTAGGTCGTGGTTTTTAATATCGTTGAGCTGGAAATTTTCCGCGTAAAATTCCTTCTGTCATTTAACTTCTGTTTTCTCTGTGTGTGTAACTGTCGAACCTGGTTCTCTATAGAAGTTGGTGGACCCATATATTCTATCAGTTAACTTAGCTAACAAGGAATTTGGTTAATTGAGATATTGATTAACCCAATCAAAGGGTTCAACCTAGAGATAGTAACAACCCGACTTGAGATCTTATCAACCGTTTTGGTAGATACCCATTTGATCTTGAGAAAGCCAAATTAGGCATAACCACTCTCTGACCGAGGTATTGAGTAGGCAACGTACTGTTGTGAGCTATAATACACCCCAACATAAAAGTCTTTATCCCATTAGGCAAATACTTAGTTTATGGTCACAGCCCTAGGACTTTTTATATCTTCGAAAAAACATTCAAAAACAATCTTCTCTTGTTTGGTATCTTTAGAATTGCAATCCTTAGCATAATTTTAGAAGTAAAAACAAAACCCTATTTGTGAAAGTGCAATCTAGATACTTCACATACCCACTCCAAATATATACTACTAATTCCTATCTTCGCTCCCTGTGGATTCGATCCCAACTCCTTGTTGGGTTTTATTATTGCAAACGACCGTGTCATACCTCGTAAGAGGCGTGCATTTGGACGTGATCAATCTTTGGCGCCGTTGCCGGGGAGCTAAAAACGGATTTAGCTATATATTTGGTTTTGTATGTGTATTGTCTTCTTTTCCTTCCGTGTTACTAATCTTTTTTGTGAAACAATTAAAGGTGCAACTATGGCTCTCAACAACAATGATCCACTCGAAAACATGCCTATGGGGGATGTGGATGTGGAAGATGACCAAGTTGAAGAGGTTCCTCTTGAACCTCAAGCAAATAGAAGAGACTGACAGCCTCAAGATAATGTCCCAGTTCCACCCCCACCTCCACCAAGATCGGCTCCACATCGAGTGTTGCCGAATGAAGGGTATGCAAGTTCCATAGTCCCGCCCCGCATTAGGGTGGGCAACTTTCAAGTCATGAATGTAATTCTCATATTGCTAGAGCAACGGGGATTCTTTACCGGGGCTCCGAATCAAAATACATACAAACATTTGAAGAGGTTTGTGGACACTTGTTGGGGGAGTAAACAGACAAACGTCTATGAGGATGCTTTAAGGTTGAGGCTATTTCCTTTCTCTCTACGGGGAAAGCCTTGGATTGGTTAGAGAGATTGCCAAACCATTCTATCCATAATGGGATGAATTGGCGGAGAAATTTATTTCCAAGTTCTTTTCTTCTAGGCATATGGCTACTCTTAGAGACGAGATTCTAGCATTCAAACAAAAGCCCAATGAGTCGTTGCATGAAATATAGGAGAGGTACCGAAGGATGGTGAAAGAGTGCCCAAACAATGACATGACAGAGGGTACAATTCAACAAACTTTCTATCGGGGGATCAATACTACCAATCAATGCGTGGTCAACCACCTTGCCGGTGGAAATTTCATGACAACACCATATGCGGAAGCTTGTGAGATCTTAGATGAGATGGTGGATACTTCATCGGCATGGGAAAGTATAGCAAATGTTCCTCAAGGTGATCCGAACGTGATTTACCTACATAAAGAACTGCATGATCATGGGCAAGCAATTGCCGAGTTGACCACCACAATGAATCAATTACCCAAGACTCAACTTCAACAAGTGCAAGGTCCTAAGCAAGTCAATGCAATAGGGGGAGTTAGTATGATGGTGAACAAGAGAAGGCAAAAGGGTCCACAAGTGCAAAACCGTGATGGAAAATTATGTGCAAGAAGAGAGTGGGTTTGATCAAGATGAATCTTACAATGAACAAGAGGAGGAAGCACAATATGTGAACAACTTTCAAGGTCAAAGAAACATCTCTCAAGGCCCGAATCAACAACAATGGCGACCTCAAGGTAATCAAGGGAATTGGAATTCTAACAACCAAGGTAATTGGAATGGTGGTAACAATCAAAGGAATTGGAATGAAATTGGAGCGGTCAAAACAACCAAGGCAATTGGAGCGGCAACAACCAAGGATATTGGGGAGGCAACAACCAAGTGGGATGGAACAATAACCAAGGCAATCGTGGGTTGGGCTTTCAAAGGCCCCCAATGTGTCAACAACCGAGCAACCCGCCTCCTTATCCTTCCCATGGTTCCAAGTTCTTCCAACAGTGAGATGGGATGAATTTAGAATATGATCAAACAAGTGATGGAGAAGAATGCCGACTCTGATGCTCAACTAGACTCACACAACACATCAATTTGCAACTTGGAAGTTCAATTGGGGAAAATCTCTCAAGCTTTAAACACTCGTCCTAAGGGGGCACTACCAAGTGATACGGTGGTGAACCCAAAGGGTGGGAACAACACGGGACATGCCATGGCCGTTACTACTAGGAGTAGAAAAGGTGGGGATGCAACCACCTCAAATGAAAAGAAACTTGTGGATGATGAGCAAGTGGTACACGAAGATGATATCCCGAACAATGTGGTGCAAGCAAATGATGAAGTCCGGATTTATATTGATGACAATGTGGAGGAGACTCAAGAGGAAGTGAACCCCTCTACGGAGCACATTATTGACATACCAGAGCCGGTAGTGCAAAAGGCTAAGGCACCAATGCCTAGGCCCCCTCCTCCATATCCTCAAAGTCCTTCCAAGAAAATGGTGAGAATAAATTCAAAAAGTTCATTGACATGATGAAGAGTCTATCTATTAATGTGCCATTGGTTGAGGCTTTGGAGCAAATGCCCAGTTATGCAAAGTTTATGATGGATTTGGTGACAAAGAAGCGATCGATGAATTGTGAAACTATAAAGATGACTCATCAAGTGAGTGCAATTGTGCACTCAATGGCTCCTAAATTGGAAGATATCGGTGCTTTCACAATCCCTTGTACTATTGGAAGTGCCGAGTTTGCTAACGCTCTTTGTGATCTTGGGGAAAGTATCAATTTGATACCTTATTCGAGTTTCAAGACTTTGGGAATTGGGCAACCAAGACCCACATCTATGAGATTAAAAATGGTTGATCGTACCATGAAGAGACCGTTGGGAGTGGTTGATGACGTGTTGGTTCGTGCTGATCACTTCATTCTTCCAGCAGATTTTGTCATTCTTGATTGTGAGGTTGACTATGAGGTGCCGATTATTCTTGGGAGACCTTTCCTTGCTACAGGGAAGGCTCTAGTTGATCTTGAAGCCGAAGAACTTACTTTCCGGGTTGGTGATGAAAAAGTAGTTTTCCATGTGTGTAAGTCTATAAGGAAACCCAATAGCAATGAGGTGTGCTCTTTCGTGGACTTAGCGACCAATGTGATTGTGGATGAAACAAGTGCTGTGATGAATGTTGATGATACATTGGAGGCCGTCTTGCTCAATTGTGATGATGAAGAGATGGAGGGTTACGTGGAATGTGTGAGTGGGTCGTACACTTATGAGCCCGGCAAATTGTCCTTGGATCTTGAAAACAGAACCACCCCTCCAACAAAGCCTTCAATTGAGGAGCCTCCCATCTTGGAGATGAAGCCATTGCCTCCACATCTTCGGTATGAATTTATTGGCCCTTCTTCTACTTTACCGGTTATTCTTTCCTCCTATTTGACTAATGCGCAGGTAGATTCTACATTGACAAAAGAGGAATAAAGCTATTGGATGGACATTGGTGGATATTCGTGGGATAAGCTCCACATCTTGCATGCACAAGATTAACTTGGAGGAAGGTGCCAAACCATCTATTGAACATCAAAGGAGACTCAATAAAGCCATGCAAGAGGTTGTAAAAAAGGAGATCATCAAGTGGTTGGATGCCGGGGTTGTGTACCCCATTTTTGATAGTTCGTGGACTTCTCCAGTTCAATGTGTCCCAAAGAAAGGGGGCATGAAGGTGGTCACCAATGATAAGAATGAGTTGATTTCTACGAGAACGATGACCAGGTGGAGAGTGTGTATGGACTATCGAAAGCTCAACAAAGTCACAAGGAAGGATCATTTTCCACTTCCCTTCCTAGATCAAATGCTTGATAGATTGGCTGGCCGTGCTATATATTGTTTCCTTGATAGGTGTTTCGGCTACAATCAAATTCTTATTGCTCCGGAGGATCAAGAGAAAACTACTTTCACATGTCCTTATGGTACTTTTGCATTCTTACGGATTCCATTTGGGTTGTGCAATGCACCGGCGACTTTTCAAAGGTGTATGATGACGATCTTCACGAACATGGTGGAGGATTATCTTGAAGTCTTCATGGATGAATTTTCGGTGGTCGTGAATTCTGTTGATGATTGTCTAGCAAATTTGGATAAAGTGTTGGCAAGATGTGAAGAAACAAACGTGGTGCTTAATTGGGAGAAATGTCATTTCATGGTTGAGGAAGGCATTGTCCTTGGCCACAAGATCTCAAAGAATGGCAGTGAAGTCGACAAGGCAAAGATTGGGGTGATTTCTAAACTTCCACATCCAACCTCAGTGAAAGGCGTGCAGGTTTTCTTAGGCCATGCGGGATTTTACTAGCATTTCATCAAGGATTTCTCTAAAGTGGTGAACCCGCTGTGCAAGCTTTTGGAGAAAGATGCCAAGTTTCATTTCAATGATGAGTGCATGAGAGCCTTTGAATTGCTAAAGCTCAAGTTGACTACTACTCCCATCATCACCGCTCCAAATTGGAGTGTTCCTTTTGAGCTCATGTGCAATGCAAGTGATGTAGCGGTAGGGGCTGTTTTGGTGGCAATGCATCAACAAAATGTTTCATCCGGTCTATTATGCAAGTAAGACCATGGATAGTGCCCAAGTCAACTACACCGTTACAGATGAATAGCTCCTTTCCATTGTGTTTGCTATTGAGAAGTTCCGCCCCTACTTGATAGGTGCAAAAGTAATTGTCTATACGGATCATGCGACACTTCGCTATCTTATGAGCAAGAAAGGTTCCAAAGCCCAGTTGATGAGATGGGTACTTTTGTTGCAAGAGTTTGATATAGACATCCAAGATCGAAAAGGGAGTGAAACCAAGTGGCGGACCACTTATCTCGTTTGGAGGAGGAGGGGAGGCCACATGATGGCATTGAAATCAATGACTCCTTCCCCGATGAGCAACTCTTGGCTATTTCAATGAAAGAGGTGCCTTGTTTCGCGGATCTAGCAAATTATCTTGTGAGTGGTATCATTCCGGTTGGATTCTCTTCAAACCAAAGGAAGAAGCTCAAACGGGATTGCCAACACTATTATTGGAATGAACCGTACCTTTTCCAGATTTGTATGGATGGAGTGAATAGAAGATGTGTACGGAGGAGGAACAAGTTGAAATTCTTGGGGCTTGTCATTCTTCGCCATATAGTGGTCACCATGGTGGAGCAAGAACGGCCAAAGTGTTAAGTTGCGGTTTCTATTGGCCCACTCTTTACAAGGATGAAAGTTATCTCGTCAAACTTTGTGATGAATGTCAAAGGGCCAGTGGAATCTCAAAGAAAAATGAAATTCCCCTCACTACCATTTTAGATATTGATATTTTCGATGTGTGGGGTACTGACTTCATGGGTCCTTTTGTGAGTTCTTGTGAAAACACCTTGTCATGCCCCGTTTTCTCGCAAAAGCGGGTTTCGACATTGTGACAACTCTTTTAGATGGGAGATAGAGTGCTAAAGAAGAAGAGTCACCACCTAACAATTTTTAAGGTGCGTTAGGGCACCTATTATGCAAATAACTCTGTTTGACTAGCCAACGCCACCAAAGATCGGGTAAGGGCTCAAATTACCTCAAAGAGAAGGTGTTAGGCACTCTTCGAGGTCCACAACTGTGGGTCCCCGCCGAACATAAAACTATATGGATTATAATTAGGCAAGA